ATCTGACAATTCACGGTATTGGTCCCCAGTGAGTTGGGCTGTTGTTACTCAACCCAAGGAGCGCGATGGTCTTGGGGTTAGGGAGGCGCGTAGGGTTAATGTAGCACTCCTTGGGAAGTTAGTTTGGGATCTGCTGACGGCGCCACAGAAGCCGGATCCTATGGTAATGAAAAATGAGGCAGTCCGGTTCTATAAGGAGATTTTCTCGAGTAACAACGAACAACGGCCTTTTTACATGCATGCTGGGGTGCCACCTAGCCTGGGAGTTGAGGCCCAATCTGCCTTAACTGCCCCAGTCACGAAGGAGGAGGTTCGCCGGGCAGTGATGAGTATGAAGTCGTTCAGGCTCCAGGGCCGGATGGGTTTCACCCGTTCTTTTTCAAGCAGTATTGGCCTATTGTAGGGGAGGAGTTATGGCGTACAGTGAAGGATGCCTTTTGGTTAGGGTTCTCAGACATATCCCTCTTGGAGACACAAATGGTGTTAATTCCGAAGGTGGACCATCCGGTTAGCCTCAAAGAATTTCATCGTATAAGCTTGTGTAACGTTGCTTAGAAGGTTATTTCTAAAGTGATTGTGGCTCGACTCAGGCCCTTCCTGTTGGACGTCATTGGCCCATTCCAGGGCAGCTTTATCCCCGGGAGGGGGACTCGTGACCATAGTATTATTGCTCAAGAAGCCGTCCATTTTGTACGAAAGGACAGTTCAGGTGTGGGATCCTTGGCCTTAAAAATTGACCTTGAAAAGGCATATGACAGGGTCAAGTGGGATTTCTTGGAATCTACGCTGGTGCAATTTGGCTTCCCAACAGTCACTACTCAGCTTATCATGTGGGGGTTGAAGAATTCGTCAATTTCACTCCTTTGGAATGGAAGCACATTACCATCCTTTGTTCCGTCTCGTGGACTTCGACAGGGGGACCCATTATCTCTGTATCTGTTTGTTTTCTGTATGGAGCGCCTATCCCTCAGGATCTCTGAGTTGCTCCAGACGGGTCATTGGAAACTGATTCAGTTATCCCCTAGGGGGTTACCGCTTTCACATCTTCTCTTTGCTGATGATATTTTATTGTTTTGTCAAGCTACAGAGGACCATGCTCGGTTGGTGGCGTTGACCTTGGAGGAGTTTTCGCAGTCATCAGGCTTGAGAGTTAATTTGACTAAGTCTAAGTTTGTGAGCTCTAGAAGGGTTTCACAGAGGAGGATCGATGCTATGGAGGGCTTGCTCGGGATTGGACACACGACTCAGATCGGGAAGTATTTGGGGGTTCCCATGACTCATGGTCAGCCAAGGTGCGCAGATTTTTATGATGTGATGGATAAGATCTAGGGTAGACTTGCGGCTTGGAAGTCCAAGCTCCTTAATAAGGCAGGTAAGCTGTGCCTAGTGAAGTCTACCATCTCCTCTATTCCAGTTTACAACATGCAAACACTGTGGCTTCCTCAGGCAGTGTGCAATAGAATTGATCAGGCTTGTCGTCATATGCTCTGGGCAAAATCTGACAATTCACGGTATTGGTCCCCAGTGAGTTGGGCTGTTGTTACTCAACCCAAGGAGCGCGATGGTTTGTCAAGTCCTTTTAGCTTGATATCGCTAAGGGTTCTTCGGCGGCGGTCTCCAATACCGGAACAGTTATCTTATCAGCTACTTGATTAGTTTCATACAACACATGAGATTAAATTAATCCTCCCCCTACCAAGTTGAAAGAAGTAATACTTTGTACCAATCGAAAACAAGGATGATACGGAGCACATCCTTCCTTCAACAAAGTCACCACAACATTAGGATCTGATTCTACCATAAAGTTTCTAAACCCTTTATTCTAATTAATAGTTATACTAATATGAATTGCCCATAACTTAGGTAGAGGCACTAAATAGTAGCCTATATTTGCAGAAAAAGCAAAAATAACAACAACATAAGGGTTACGAAAAACACCTCCTACACATGCCTTTATTGCTTTAATTGAGGCATTACAATTTAATTTCATCAGACTAGGGGGAGGGGGTTCCCAGCTCAAAAGCATGAGCTCCGTAGCTATTTTATTAGCATTGATCTTGTCCTCAATACACAAACAACTTGTCCTAATAGATAGTTCAATTGCCATAATGAGGAATTTTATTTCTATAGGTTGTGAAGCACTATATATCTTGAAACACAAACTTATTCCTACATCTCCAAAATACATCTATGGCCACTGCAAATAAGATGTTCCATTGTCTATTATTTATGCTGGAATGTTCACTTAAATTTGTTAGGAGCCATGACGATAAAACTTTATCAAAAAACCAAGAGTGTTGTTGTCTAGAGAGTAACACATACCAAATAGTCCTTATAAGGGGGCAAAATCGCATAACATAGGCCAGATATTCAATACAATGTCCACAATGTAAACAAGACCGATCTTTAGTCAAGTGTTTACTATATTTGACTGCATTAGTCAGTAAACTAGAATTGGCAATTTTCCACAACAAGGTGTTGATCCGTTCAGGCCTAGGCCATTACCAAATTTCCACAAAAAATGGGTTCCTCTCATTATATGAGTTGGAGCTTGTTTTCAGCTATGTATATGTTGAAGAAATAGAGAATTTACTTGTTGAGGTTCCTTTCCAGGATAACACATCAAGACCTCTTAGATCGTTCGGTGGGAGTATAACATGAATTCAATTTAAAACATGCTCTTCCACACACATTATTAAGATTATGAAAATTCCAATCACATGTTTCCATTACTCTAAGTTACAGAATGAATTTTTCAACTCATTTATGAATCTCCCCACATGAAGCTTCTACACTTCTTATCTATTTCATCACAAATAAACAAGGGTAATTTACTTGTTTGTATTGCATAAGAAGGTAGAGCATGTAGAACCAATTTAACCAAAGTAAGTATTCTAGCAAAGGACAATTTTTGACCCCTTCCAATTTGATAACATGACATTTACTTTAGTCATAATAAACTTACATGTTTCTCCGGAAAATTCTCTTGTGAATGCCCAAATACTTCCCCAAGTTTCCCGTTAATTGAAATCCTAAGGCTTAGCTAATCTGTTACTTATGGTGCCACCTCACATTCTTTGAGAAGAATACACGAATTTTATCTTACAGAAATATTCCAAAATTATGGTTAAACACACTTTTCTTTCTTTCTCTTTTAAATTTTATTTTATTTAATATTCTCATACACATCGTTAAATTTATCATTTCAAAAATTAAGTTGTGAAATATAAAAAATATTCACTTCCAAAATTTGAATTTTAGAATTATAAGAAATTTAACTTTTCAAATTTATTATTTAGAAATTAATTTCCTTTCATAATTCCAAAATTTAAATTACCGTTGAAAAAATTGAGTTTCTAAAAAAATATTTGCATAAATCTTTTTGATGTGTTACTTAATGAAGTTCTTATTTTTAATAATTTTTAACTAATAAAAAAAGAAAAAATGATGCACATAATTATTCAATCACAAACTATTATTTATAATATTTTTTTTATTATAATAAACAAGTAAAAGTCAAATACAAAGAGAATAATCTACAACTTTTACACACTCGTACTTAAGGTTAGAGCAAGTTTATCATCTAAGAAATATCCCTAGAGACTTTGACTAATTAGTATATTTTTGACATCTCTTCAAATACACATTATCTACTCATTATACAATGTTCAAGTTAGTTGAATATTTATCGAGTGAAAAATTTAATACAAGAATCAACACTATTAATATATAAATTTAATATCATAATGTTATGTCAATTATTTCATGATTTTAATGTACAAATTATGAAAAATCATGAGACTTGTGAATGTAGGATAAACACATATGAAGTCAAAAATTAGCCTTAAGGGGGCCAGGAGATTTTTTTAACAATTATATGTAGACTATAGTCTATAACATCACAAATAATTCACTAATATTTATATATTTTATTTATCTCTTTTCTATACATTACATTTATATATATATATATATATATATAT